CAATGAGAATGGCGATAACCAGGTAATAATAATATTATAAAGTTATATTGAAGAGTAGATATGAATCTATATGTTTATATGTGTGTATGTGTAGTTCTTTATGATTTAATATTACCTGGGTACTTTCTAAGTGTTCACTATTGACCTTGTAATTTTAAAGTTATATTCCATTATGTCAAGTAATATTAGCCTGCCATTTAAAATAAACATTTCAAAAATGGAGCCTGTTTCAATAAAATTTAAAGTAATAATACAGATGGTTTAAGAATCTGGCAAAATCTTAGAGATGGCATGTAAGTTTTTCAGTCTCTAGAAGCCTCCTACAGGCGATGTGATGGGAATGACCTATGTGGATGAAGGGATTCCCCTGAGTTGGGCTAATTTCTCCCCAGGTCTTGGGAATTGGCCATCTCTTAGTTGGAACAGCTATATCCCATCCAGTGGTTTATGTTCTGGCCACATCCACCACCATGATGTTCAGGTAGCAGAACACCAAGTAGGCACACTGAGCGGCCACAGCCAGGAAGTGTGTGGGCGGCACTCGGCCCCAGATGGATGACATTTGGCCAGTGGTGGCAATGATACCTTGGTCAATGTGTGGCCTAGTGCTCCTGGAGAGGGTGTCTGGGTTCCTCTGCAAACATTCACCCAGCATCAAGGGTTGTCAAGGTTGTAGCATGGTGTCCCTGACAGTCCAATGTCCTGGCAGCAGGAGGAGGCACCAGTGATCAATACATTCGCATCTGGAATGTGTGCTCTGGGGCCTGTTGTGCTGTGGATGTCCATTCCCAGGTCTGCTCCATTTTCTTATCTCCCCACTACAAGGAGCTCATCTCAGTCCATGGCTTTTCACAGAACACAGCTCGTTATTTGGAAGTACCCAACCACGGCCAAGGTGGCTGAACTGAAAGGTCACACATCCCGGGTCCTGAGTCTGACCATGAGCCCAGATGGGGCCACAGTGGCATCCACAGCAGCTGGTGAGACCATGAGGCTATGGTGTTGTTCTGAGTTGGACCCTGCGTGGCAGCAGGAGCAGGAGAATGCCAGTGCAGCCAAAAGCAGCCTTATCCACCAAGGCATCTGCTGGAGACCAAGCCATCACCTCAGTTGTTTTTTTATTTTTCTAATAAAATCATGTCCCCCTTAAAAAAGAAAAAAACCTGAAGATCGAGAAGTTGCATGGGAATAGCACTCAGAGGCAACTATCAGTTGCCTTTTTGTGGTGTGGCTAGACCTTTGGAGAAACCAAACATGCTCTTCTCCTCACAAAGAACTGGCAGAGGAGAGGGCTACCTAGTTGACATGTACTCTGTAGAGACCACCATTACTATGAATTTGATGGGTGGGAAAATGATGGAGTGACTGTGGACTGGGTGAACCTGGAAATAATAATTTGAAAATTACCTTAGATGCTGATTCATTTAGAGATTCTAGATTAGTTGGTGGTCTTGTTCCTATCCATTGGCTGACCAAAATGTTCTTTCACTTATACTCCCTTCTGAGTTGGTTAATTCTGTTTCAACATTTAAATGGCATCCCATCTAGGAAGACTTCTTTAATGCTGCCAAGATGAGTGGCTTACACTTCACTCTGTATTTCTTTTAAACCTTCTAAGACTACGTTTCAGTGAATTGATTATGTATTTCCTCATCTTTGTGAAATAGATTCTTTGCTTCCTGAAGACAAGAGTTCTGAACCATTTGCCTTTCTCTCCCCCAATACCTGACATACAGTCTATGGTCATTAAATATTTCTATAATGAGAGAAAACGTCTTGTGCAGAAAGAATTTTGAAGTTACATATAAGTTCAAATAGTGGTTCTTTCTTCTTTCTTTACTTACAGGTGTTTCTTTAGTAAATTAATTAATCTCTGCCTCAGTTTTGAACACAACAAGGCAAGGTATTATAAGCTTTATCTAACAGTAAGATACTGTGTTAGTGGATACTATTTATGACTACACACATAGCCCCTTTTTAGTTAACCTACTCATTCTGACTAGTCAAGCTATGCCATTGTATAACATTGGCCCAGGGTCTATTATCATTTTTAATCTTGTTCTGGTGAGTCCAGATAGGGGAACTCACTGCAGTCTATGCCACAGTCCATCCAACATGCCGCAGTCCATCCTCAGTGCCGCTTGGTGATTTCCATGAAAGTGTCTATTATGAATTTAAAGTGATATGAAATTTTCTTATCCCAGAATCATTAGCAACAAAGCAGATGTCAGAATATACTTGCAGAGTGTTTGGCAAAATTTTAAAGAACTGTGCATGCTAGCCTATCCTAACTGACTTAGCAAATGTATCTTCTTTAGTCCTCAAAACAAACTTGCCTGGTCTGTATTATTATCATTGTTTCATTGTTATCATTATTAATTCTCTCTCCTTCCACTGTTACACAAATGATCAGTATACGAATTAGAATTCAAACCCCAAGCAGCTGACACTAGAGGTCACTCTCACAACAATCTTATTGTTCTGCTGCCATAGAACTCAGGCCAACCAGGTACCGTGGTTCATGCTGTAATCCCAGCTGTTTGGGAGGCTGGAGTGGTAAGATCCCTTGAGGCGAAGAGTTTAAGATCAACCCCCTCCATTTCTAAAAATAATAGTAATAGTAAAATTAGCCAGGCATGGGGTGGTACACTCCTGTAGTCCCAGCTACTCTGGAGGCTGCATCAGGAGGATCACTTTGGCCCATAACTCTGAGCCTGAGTAAACAAAGCAAGAAACACAACGTATGCCTTTGAAGAACAGCATACATGGCTTTTGCACATTCAAGTATGATCTATCATGGAGTAGGTGAGAAATGGAAAGAACAAGTCCCATTTCTCTGAGAAGTGTTTAGGCTGAGGCTCTATGACTATCATGGATCTCACCATGTGTGTAAAATGGCCTTTCCCCACTAGCACTATCCTCATCCTCCACCATAGGGAAAGTCTTTGAGCACCTTTGTGACACCCTCATACCTTGCCAACTTTTACTGCAGAGGTCACATAGCTTCACTCTGCTCATTCATTTGTCTTTTCTCAAAGTCTTTCCATGGCAGGAATCCTGTTATCACCACACATCTGACCCAGGATAACCATACGAATTCCAGTTTACTGAGTATTTCCCACCATCTGGCTGGTTTACATATGTCTTATTTCTGAACCACACAACTGACCCATTAGGTAGGGATTGCTAGTAGTGCCACTTTGCAGAAGAAAAGACTGAAGCTCAGAAAACTTGAATACCTTGTCCATCATTACAGAGACAGCAAGTAGAGTGAGCTGGGATCCAAAGCCAGGTGTATCTGTTTCTAGAACAGACAGTCCTCAGCATGCACAAGTCCCCTTCAGCACCACCTTCTCCCGCAGGTCTAGAAAGAGCACATCATGGGTGTGCTGTAAATGCTGTTACCGTAGTAAATGGCTTTACCATTCAGAAAGTTACAAAGATTTGGGGATTTCTTTATGGGGACTTTTTGAATTTTGTTTAGTTTAAGTTTTGAAGCCTGCCAAAGTCTGCTCACAAACTGGGATAAGAGAAAGCCTTAAGGGAAAACTGTTTTAAGGGGAAGACTTGTTGCAATTCCAGAAAAAGGAGAGGATGTTGTTCTGGAATCCGTTTTCTCTGCATTGGCTCCCTATTGAAAAATGTTTTCTTTTCTTCCATTTCAAAAGCAACTGCTGCGTGCCATGGCTCCTCTATGCACTCATCAGGGTTGAGCCCTTTTGAATTATAGAGTCTCAGTGATTGAGCTGAGCCCAGGCGAAGAATGACAAGCAGGGAGATTCCACTGGCCATCTTGTTAGATCAGATTCTGCCTGTATTTGCAGTGCAGTCTAGGTCTGCCCCTTTCATCTGGTTTCACTAAGGCCACTCACCAGCCCAGCTAGTGTTAATAACTTTCTAGCTTTCTTATTCTGAGCCAGAATGGAAACAGAGACCTAGAGGTGAGAGGTTCCCTCTCCTATTATGAATTCCCTGAGCCACACTGTCCCCGATGGTGTCCTGAGGAATTATTTTCCCGTTTAGTCTAATTCAGCAAAGCTTCTCTCTTGGATCTGCAGTGAATGTTATTTGTTTTTAAAAAAAAAAGAAAAAAAAATATATATATATATATTTGGTGAGGGAAGAAACACATTTGCCATGCTGAAGGTAAGCAAAAATGTATCTGACACCTCAGGTAATGGGGATTTTTTTGTGTCCATGTCTTTCTGAATCTCTTCAGTTGAACGTTACATTTTTTAAAACAATATTTTATTCCCAAAGGAGCTTTCTCTAATTTAAATCTCCTGTTTAACTGTATGTTTTGAATGGGGACCCTGATACTGTCCTGATTATAGCAAACAAGTTGGACATTACATAATTTATCTCTGGGAGCAATCTAATTTTATTCATTCATTATTAGCTTTCTGGCAGAGAATTGCGTTCTGCACCCTGAACTGGGCAATCCCTTCTGATGAGTCCTGGAAACTAAGATTGTAAAAATGGGGGTAAATTCCCCTCCCATTCTCATTTGTATTTTTTTTTAATGTTGTTAATTCAAAGCTATTTACTTCACAGCATTCAGCATAAAAGGAACCAAAATGTGTCTTTAAACAGGTTAAAAAAAAAAAAGGAAAGAAAAAGTAAAAGACCTATAGTCTGTTTGACAAGTGGACGGTGTTAGCATACACCCCAGCGAAGTGTTAAAACCAAAAAGAATGGAAGAAAGAGAGAAAGGGGTGGAAAGAGGATAAGGAAATCAGGAAGGAAGAGAGAGATATGTGAGAGAAAGAAGCAAGGAGGAAAAAGGGAACTTCTATTATGCAGAACAATTTCTGATAGGCCACATAGCTGTGAATGAAAACTGAAATCCAAATAAAGCTTAACAATGAAAGGACTTACTGGCTTACTAAGACTTTGAGAAGTGCCTACTATTGTTCACTTTAGGTGCTTTGGAAAAGCAGTGATTTTGTTTTAAAACTGTTTGAGTAGACCCTTACCTTTCTTCCTCCTTGTTTTTGCAGGAAATTTCAATGAAAAGAAAAGCCAATGGATTGTGGTCTTAGAAAAGCCGCTTAGATGATGTCTGTTTCCCGTGCTATAGACACGTGGCAGAGCTGTAAGTAAATGCTCCGCACTGCATGATGAATTGGATGGCTACAGACCGAAGACAAAAAAAATAATTGTCTCATTTTCGTGGTGATTTGCTTAACTGGTGGGACCATGCCAGAACGGCTAGCGGAAATGCTCTTGGATCTCTGGACTCCATTAATAATATTATGGATTACTTTTCCTTCTTGCATTTACATGGCTCCGATGAATCAGTCTCAAGTTTTAACGAGTGGATCCCCTTTGGAACTTAGCAGTCTGGGTGAAGAACAGCGAATTTTGAACCGCTCCAAAAGAGGCTGGGTTTGGAATCAAATGTTTGTGCTGGAAGAGTTTTCTGGACCTGAACCAATTCTTGTTGGCCGGGTAAGCTTTGTTTTTAAGATCTCAATTTCAGGGTCTGTTAGTGGTCTTAAGATGTTTAATACCAGACTTTTTTTAGTTGTGGCCACACAGCTGTAAATTCTTCAGGCCAGATGGTTAGTGAGTTTACCTGTCGTTCTGTTAGGAATACGATTAATCCCGAGGTAACAGTTTTAAATGGTCTTCTAGGGAAAGCTTGTCCTTCCATCTCTTCCACCTGCCTATCAATAAAATATAACACTGCTTATTAATGCATAAACAAATAACATTTTCTTTCTTTCTCATTCGCATTTCTCATTCTCTGGTTTCTAGTACTTGGAAGAGATAGGCATCTTTTCTCAGTCCGAATTCCTACCACTTCAATGATTAAGAGTGTATTTTGTTTTAAGGCCATGTAGATATGTATAATTGCAGGTAGATATTTATCTTTTTTGTTTTATCATCTGTTTTTTTCAATAATTAACCTAAGACGGAGAAAGGGAAGTTCTTAGAGCAAATGCTCAACTGTGCATTGTACTATTTGAAAACCTTTGCAATAGAAAACTAACTCATTCACTGTCAGACAAAATCAAATGTACAGAATCAAAATTTTGATTTAGTGGAGGGTGTGTGTGTGTGGTGTGTGTGTGTGTGTGTGTGTTAGACTGGACTTACATTTGTTTTGTTGTTGTTGGCAGGTTAGACAATTTTTTTGTGTGTAGACATGGGCTGCTTGTTTTCCAAAATAATACTGTGGGTTATTGGAGACTATGTATGTTTATTCCTCAGAAGTGTTCATAAGCTCCTTTTAATTTTGATGCACAGCATTATGTAGGTATAATTGCAATTACGAGCCTGCCAATGACTAGTTTTCTTGATAAGTCAGTTTCAGAAGTGAATCAGGCCAATGTTATTCACTTTCCAAATGCCATGATTTAAAAGAAAAGTAGAAGGGGAATTAAATATTGGTCTTCAGGACTTGAGTTAACTCTTTGTGTTTCACTGGGAACTTCTGATTGCATTCTGCTTTTACCCTATTGTCTTGTAAAACAAATTGAGCTTCCCCAAGGATTATGTTTCTCATTTCATATGGTTCTACTTGGATGAAGAAAGCCTGCATGAGGCGATACCATGAATCATTACATGGATATTTATTGAGCCTTTCCTGTGTGCCAGACGCTCTGTTAGGCATGGGAGGCATGTCAATGAACAAAACAATGATCTCTGCCTTTCAGGAACTTACATTTTGGCCAATACGGAGTGTTTATTATGTGTTGAACACTATTATAAAAGCAGCTTGTGGGCACCAATCTTTTTTATTCTCACAATAACCCCCCCTTCAATATATGCCTATGTGTGTTTATTTGCATGTATGCATACAAATGTATGTGTTAAAGAGGTCTGTACTCCCCTTGTCATAAGTTCAAAATATAAAAATGTCAGAAATATATATATTTTTTGTATCCTTGATACAAACTCAGGTAGTAGAACCGACTTGAGGCTATTTATAGTCGTAATGCATCCTGTAGTTGTGACTATTCATAGATTTTGCTGCAAAAATGTTAATGTGGTTGACTACAGGGTGCTGCCCCAGACCCTGCTGAGGGTGCTACTTACCATATAGTTTATATACCTTAATAATGTTTCTAAAGTATGAAAAGTTTTCAATTCCAAAATACATCTGGCTCTGTGGGTTCTGGATATGGGATTATTTACCAGCATTATTGTATCATTTCTGTAGGTGCAAAACTGAAGTTTAGATGGATTAGTAAACCCAACCAAGATCACAGAGCTGGTAAATTACCATCCTGAGTTTGAATCCCGTTGGAAATTCCAATTGGCCGCAATTTCACCCACTATGCTTTATTGCATATTAATAACTAGCTAACTGGAGCATAAACTGCAATTTACACTTAAGAGGTATTGAGTATAGAATGTAAAGCCTTTAAATGCCTTCTTCTGGATATTCAAAACTTCTTTAATCAGCCCTAAGGCAAGACATTTTCATGCCATATGAAATTATGTGAATACATGCATATTTATATAATGGACGCCTTCTTGCTCTTCTTAGTTAACTCTTTATGAAGGTATGTCACTCTGTGTCTTGCCTAATGTGAATAAGAAAACATGCAAAACAAATGAACAAATCAAAACAAATGAGCAGGAGAACATTTCATTTTGATCTGGGTGGAAAAGGTAATTAACATGGGGTTGCTTTGGACTTAGAATCCGATAACTGATTTCACCTCCATTCCTTACATGAAGTAATAAAGATAGAGGTAAACAGCCAGGCATTCAGCATCTTCTTGTGACTTAGTGATACCTGAGACTTTCATGCTTCTCTGACGTACATAAATGTTGCCGGTGAACCCAAGGATTTTGAAATAGCCAAAATGCTTTTGAGTCTTAGTGATGGTTTTTATCTAGCCTTTTCATGGCTTCCTACCATGACCAATTCCCAAACAATTGTTAAGTCAGAGTTTATTTTCTGGAAACTTTTCTGCAAACATTTCCCACCATACTTATTTCCCTTTAAAGAAAAATGCTCCTGAATTATGACAGCGTAGCCTTGGAGGATCTTGGTTTGTAGCGTAGCTAAAAATACATTTCAGGTGACTGCTTCAGATTAAGAGTCAGGCTGAGTGCCGGGATGATCCGTATCGGGGTGCCCACCGGTGCTTTACAGTGTTTTATCTCTATGCACACTCTTCCGCATCCGACTCTTTAAACCACTTCACCTCCCAGCTTCTCCCTAGGAACTGGCTGAGAAGCATTTCTTACTTACAAGCACACCTGCTCTTTGAAAGGCCCTCCTGTGAGTCACCATGGTGGGGCCTCTGACCTAGCAGGCTGAGTTCATGCTCAAGGGCAGAGCTAGTTTTTGAGTGATTGGTTCTTCAGTGCTTCACATACAACCTTACAGCATCCATCATCTGTTTTTAGTAGGCAGTTGGATGCTGAGAAAGAGCCTTAGCATTAGAGATGTACTCTCTCAAGGTTTGAATATGGGCTTGGACACTTTCTGAATGTTAACCCTGAAAGGTTACTGAAGTTTTCAAGGATTATACAAATATGATAAATAAGAATTTGTAAGAGTAAAGAAAATAATAGAAGCATAGTACCTGCTATATAGTAATTGTAGTTGTAATTACATTCTTAAATGTATGTGTGTGTGTGTGTGTGTGTTTGTAGTTGGAGTGGCAGACAAATTAACAATTACTTCACTAGGTGCACAACAAGACTCTGGGAGCCCAAAGAAGGGCCTCTTCACTGGTACGTGTTTTACGGTGTGGAGATGATGTTTCTATGTGTCTTGAAGAGTCACTGGCCTAGGGGTGTGGGGTAGGAAGTGAAGTCTCCCAGCAAGATAGAGAGATTTATGCAAAGTCATGAGGGAGAGAGTAAAATGACTGAGAGTAAGATGCTTCCCTTGGTCCGAAGCAACATAGGTCTTTATATTTTCTGTTGAAATGGAATGAAGTCAGTGGTCATATATATTGGTTTCTCTTTGAGATAGGGTCTTGCTCTGTCACTCAGGTTTGAGTGCAGTGTTGTGTTCACAGCTCACTGCAACCTCGACCTCGCAGGCACAAGTGAATAGTCCCTCCTTAATAACAGGGACTACAGTCATGCACCTGGCTATTTTGGTTTAAATCTTTTGTAGAGATGGGGTCTCCTGTGTTTCCCAGACTGATCTTGAACTCCTGGGATCAAGCAGTTCTCCCGCCTTGGCTTCCCAAAGTGCTGAGATTACAGGTATCAACCACCATGCCTGGCCTGGAAGTCATATTCTTAGAGAGGCTTTCCTTGTCAGTTCTTCTAAAATGTAATTGTTCCTCCTTTAATACATCACACCATTTGCCTAGGTTTGATTTTTGTTTCTTCCTGCTGATCATTATCTAACACACTCTATACCTTATCATGTTTATTATTTGTCTCTTCTAGGATGCAAGTTCCACAGAGAAATTTTGAGTCCTTTGGTCTTTACTCTGTAGCCCCAGAACCTAGAACCCTGCCTTCCTATAGGAACTTCCCAGTAAATATTTTTCATGAAAAAAAAAAGAATAAATTTACTTATATAATGGAAGAATTTATAATAGTCATATAAGCTCAATGGATTTTTCAATAAAGGGGTTTTCATGTCCTCTCTTTCATATGGGTATTTTATTGACCAACTGGGTAGTTAATTTTTTTTCTTTGTATTGATTTTGAAAGTCTTTCTCTGAGGTATGGGCATGAAGAAAAAGTTAACTGGTTTAAGCACCTCCCTTTCAAAGGCTGCAAGATTACCCCTATGGAGACTGTCTTCCTTACTTACCACTGTCATAAAGCAACACATTGTATTCCAACTATCTTCAGACTTTTGTGTTTATGCTTATAGTACAAACTGGAGCAGAAAGCTTTTGTCTGGAATTCTGAAAAGAAAATACCAGCCAAACAGACTCCATTCCTGCCTGCAGTTCTCTGTGGACCAAGGCAGAGCAGAGTCTGTTCATAAACACATAAACACAGAGTATGTCACATCTCTGTGTACCTCACGGCTGATTTTCTTTAGAAATTTTAACAGAGAAAAAAGTGGCTCATGGGATGGCTAACCCAAATATGCTGATTTGTTCCGGTCTTAGAAAAGAGGGAGAAAACCTGTGGTAGTTTTTGATAAATCTGGCAAACAACACAAAAATATCATCCTGTGGTAAAATGTGCATAGATTCTTCATGGTAGACAGCTGAGGGTCATTATAAGAACCTTTGGCTGTGAGTCAGGATGGTGACTGATACAGCCATGCCACAAATATTTACTAAGCACCTACTATCTGCAGAGTATTCCATTGCCAGTAGCTTCTCAGCTCTGATCAAACACAGATCTATCTATGCCTTCTGCATGGAGACAATGAACTACTAGAGGGAGACAGACATTAAAACAGATAATCACATGAAGAAACATCACAAGAAAACTGAAATAAGTACTCTGAAGTGAAGAAATGAGGTTCTATTGAAGCATATACAGAGGACCCTGCCTTATTC